ACAAAGAACCCTTGTAATTTTGTTCTATCCGTCAGTTCTAATGTGCCATTTTATCATCATAATATCTCATCACCAGTTCACTGCTGAACATCATCATCAGCCTCTCTCATAGATTGCACAAGTCTGAGATGCCTGCTTCCACTCTCATCAGTTTTGCCACGTCAGCCTACTTACACGTATATAATGGCATTATATAATATGTACGTGTAAGTCAGTTATTCTTCCAACATTATTATTATATATTCTTACAAATTGTTTTCGACTTCATACAGATTAGAGCGTCATTTGAAAGTTATTATAAAATGATTGAATTTAATTTCCAGCTTACTTTATTCCATCATCCTATTTCATCCCATGAGCATCATATGAGGCTATGGAAATGTCAGAAAATAGCTTTCTACAGATGGCGGTGTAACCATCCTTTCATTATTATCTTTTCATTCTGTTTGATGAAGTTGGGAACATATTTTTGCCGTTTATTCTTTCGCGCGGTTTATATAACTTAAACGTTTATTTTATATACAACAGCTGTTTAGAATTTCGATTACGCTCATCTTTTGGTCATTCAATTCATTTATAATTATATATATACGAGGAAATATGTCATATCACGTACACAATACGAAGATTCCCCCTAAAGTTAACTGTACAGGAAGCGATGGTTATTGAGAGATCACTACGCTAGCATTACTGTAGTGCGTCGGAGATGTTTGCGCAAGCTCGCACGGACGGTTTTCATGCGATAATACGTAAGAAAACAGCTTCGCTGCTTAGAAGGGTGAGAGATAGTCACAACAGCATTTTGAAAACAGTAGCGGAGAACTATAATTCTCCGATTTTGAAAAAGTTTGTCCACACATTAATGTTTACTAACACTAGTTTATAAGTCAATTGTTACTAACACTACTATGGATTAATTTTGGTCCGAAATAAAGATTATTATTATTATTATTATTATTACGGAACTGAGAAGGGCATTTATACAAATAATCTTCGTTTTGACTCATTAATCAAAGAAATGGGATTGGATGCGTTTCAGTCTGTTCTTAACTTCCGATTTGGTACCAAATGTAAATTAAAAAAAATAGAATCAATTTAATGAGACTTGTTCTTAAAATTGGGTAAAGGCCCACCCTTACTACTTTACCTAGTTTAAACTTTAAGTGCTTATGTTAGGTGATATTATACAACAGTTAGAATGGTTTTGAAATTGCGCTAAGATTGTACGAAGTGTCCTTATCTAGGATGCCTCTTGTCTTAGCAGAATGTTGTCATGCATAACGTTTGCATACTTTAAATTGCAAGAAGTTTATAGTTATATATAATATAATATCCAAAATAATAAAAAAATATAATATCCAAAGTCCAAGTGTCAACCTAAACTACATTTATCGCACGCAGGATATTTTACTAATTAAATAGAGGCTTTAGCGATCATAAAGGCGGAGTAGTAACAATTAGCGCGAACGACCGCGGCAACACTAACCAACCTGCTTGAACAGCCCAGCATGATGAGAACCTTTAACTTTTTTTAGTGAAGTTAACAATTCTTTAGTAAAATCTTAGATTATACATTTTTTATAGAATAAGTGTGACCAACGAGCACAAGTCCACCTAATGGTAAGTGGATGCTGTGGCCCATAGATGTCTACATTTATTCTCGATTAAGAATCAAAATGAAGATGCGTTGTCACCCCTGAGAACTAGGATGGTATGCCTCGTTTCCAGTAAAAAGGGTCTCCGGTTCTCTATACCCCATATCCACCATTATGCTGCTATTTTGCGCTGGTATTCTGTGAGAGAGTGGGCTTTACCACGTAATATGTTTGCAATGAGATATATAATAATAAACAATAATAATTAAAATAATGAATTACAATTATTTTTATTTTTGGCACCCCATGACAGCAGGTACATGCAAGTAAGTGCATACGCATCCAGTGCCCTAATATGGGAAAATCAAATTTATCAGATATTGCCCTCAGAATGCTATTGGAGCTCTCACAAACCCTGCGCATGAGGGATGTGATTCTCTTTCGAATAATGGCATGAAAGCCGTCCGTACCGTACGCTGTAAACATCCCTGAAGCGCTACAATAACGCGGAAGTCCCATCACCGTGACGGCATTGTTATATTGTTCCCGAAGGACATTGTTGGCTCTCTGCGTATACTTAACTCATAGACTGCACATGTAAAATGACTGACAAAAGTCTTTGAAGAGAGTTATCTTAACTTCTTCTGTACAGCGTGCAAAGCTACGGGACAGCATGTTACAGCGAACCGCCAATGCCCTTCTTTCTCTTTCTATGTCCGCATCATCAGTTAGATCCTCAGTTAATACGTGACCAAGATACCCAAACTGGAACTCCCTATTTAACTGTACGTTACTCAACTTAACAGGAGGAATCGTTTCAATATTTGATGCAACGCGAAACACCAATAATTCACTTTTGTTAACATTACAAATGAGACCGTGAGTCTTAGCATAGGTATCACAAACATTCAGGAATATCCTCAGTGCGTTAATCGATAGGCTTAGCAACACCATGTTGTCTGCATAGCTTATTTTTTATGTTTTTTTATAGAATGAGGGTGACAAACGAGCACACAGTCCACCTGATTGTAAGTGGTTGCTGGGGCCCATAGACATCTACATCTATCTTCGTTGTCAGCCGTGAGGACTAAGATAGAATGCCTCTTTTCCAGTAAAAAGTGTCTCCGGTTCTCTACACTCACCATACGAAACGCGTTAAACTGCTATTTTACGATGGTATTCTGTGAGAGCGTGGTCCTTCCCCGGTCGAGCCGACCCATTCGTGCTACAACTATACTATTAATATAGCTGCAGCATGGCTCTACCACGTATAACGCTTATACTGTTAATAATATATTGGTATATATATTGGTATAGAGATACCACCCTCTTACCTTTGTCTGCCGCCAAATAGCAGTGCCTGCACTGATGTGTTTCGCTCTGAAGGGTATTATAAAGAGCCAGTGTAATTACAGGCTAAGGGACATTCCATCTTAGTCTGCAAACGTAACAACCATCTGCAACCTTCTTTGTTTGAAATTGACTGCAGGTGTCAATGGACTGCAGTAGCCACTTACCGTCAGGTAGACTTTTAGTACGTTTGCCACTTCAGTTTTATAAAACAATTGATATAGGCACAGTAAAAAAAATCAGACGGAAATTAATAATTACTATCAATAAATAAATTGTTCATCTGGGAATATGTTGTGTATGCTGGCCGTATGAGGAAGCTCAGAGTCGCTCAGCGAGCTTTGGAAAGGGCAATGTTCGGCGTTTCTCTGCGTGATAGACTTAAATATCTGCAGTAGAACCGACAACCGATGGGGAAGAACGGTTCTCGAGTGGCAGCCTCGTACCGGCAGGCAAAGTGTAGGGCTTCCCCCCACTAGATGGAGTAACGACCTGGTAAGACATGCAGGAAGTCGATGGATGCAGGTGGCTCAGGACCGTGCTTTGTGGCAGTCCTTGGGGGAGGCATATGTTCAACAGTGGACTTGTGAAGGGTTGTAATGATGATGATGAATAAGTAAATGAATTACGCATACGTGGTCTTCGGTGAAGGGTACTCTTAATCTGACCCGTCTTCAATATATCGTCAACTTGGTCGATAAACTTCATAAAATGATGTTATCTTTATAATAACTTCACAAGAAAATGATTTTATGATTATTAAAAAAACACAATGCGCTTGAGTCATTATTTATTCAATTGTTTAACCACTCTGCTATCTTTTTGTTTCACAACGATACGCGTTCTCATTTCAAAATAGATTAAAAAGTTACCTCGTTAACTATATTCTATGTGTTAAAACATATACTATCTTTGTTTGTTGCATCACTAATAAAATTGCATGTTTTTTAATATTACGTGCTTGAGTATTTTAATTGCTTAACGCTAACTTTAATTGCTAATACATTTCTGACGGGTAATTTTGTAACAATTAATGTAATTTCACTGCGGCAACACAGTGAACGAAAATATTTTTAATTGTTGTAAAATATATATTTCTTATTTTACGGTCTTTTTTTGTAAAAGCATTTTATAATTCAAAAATTCAAAGAAAAAAGGCTATCAATCCACTGGGCATGTCTGTATCTTTAAATAATAACGTGGGATTCGAAATTCATCTGGAGTGGCAAAAGAAATAGCAGGTTCACTGCGTGAGGTCGCAACTCGCAAGTCGCAACGAAGACCCACCTATCGGAAGGCGGACAGAGCCTGCGCAGGCACTGAGCAGCCGAGTGAGAGGCACGATCATTCCGGATTACAGTCACCATATATTAATTGAAAATTACAAGACATTTTTTATACACATTCTGATTAATTTTATTGACTTATAATATAGTTTTAATATTTAACTTTACCGTTTGATAGTAGCGTGAGAGAATCCATAACCCTATCTCGTCTCAGGAGTGTCGTACGAGGCGACAGCGGGAAATGCCAGAAAAATCCGATTATTTTTAATCATGGCTCCGATAGAAGTGAGCTATGGCATCTCATTAACGTCAGACGTAAAATATCATCAGCGCCTAAGGCACGAGATATTTGCCATGGTTAGTGTTGAAAATGAAGATATAGAAATTCTTTCTATCGTAGCATGTAGCAAATTACATTGGAATTCGATAAAGAGAATTAGAAAAATTTCTTATTTACATTTGCATTTATCTTACCAAAATTGAAGTATGTAATTTATTTACTAATTTTAATCAAGTGCTAAAATCATTTATTTACATAACTTTTAAATATACAATATTTATAACCATAATAAAAGTTTCACTGTTTCACACTTAATATAATCAAAGGCAAAGTTTCACGACTTTTATCTATTGTCATAATTCATAACTGTGGGGTGGCCGGCCACGTTAGGCTTGTAATATGGTAAACCTAGTCCTGAGTCTACTCGATTCACAATTCAATTTCGATTCGATATCTCGCCAACCACAGCCACAATACATCAACACAGCCAGTGTCGCGCCAACTGCTGACGGTGTCGCATGTCGTGTTGTAACACTATTAGTTTACAAAACTTCCCGAAGTACGAGTGAATTTAGTAAAAACAATATAAAAACGAATTTACGTCACTAAATATCGATAAACGAATTGAATAGTGTTGTGAAGCAGTGAGGTCTTTGTAAAATAATTTTTGCCTGGTCGAAAGGCATAAAAACAGACTGTGTTCCGAAATCCGAATGTTATCCAGCAATTAGTTTAGTAAAAGTGAGTGCGTGTGTAGACGTTTTATGCTTCAATTAAGACTAGAGCTGTTTTATTTAATTCACCATCGATCTAAGTGCGTGGAAGGAATCGGGATCACTAATGTTGAAGTTGGTTAGTCCGCTTTTTGAATACATAATATCTTGTAACCGTTTATTCGTAAACATTGTAATCAGAATCGGATTTTATATCGATTCATTATTTGATTTATTGAGTTCATTCATAAAGTGCGATTATTTAATTTGTTTCGTTTTTGTTTTTACATATTACAAATTCATATGGACAGTGATTGCATTTTCATTGATATGTTCACATATCTGTATTGTGATAGTGACAGTTATGTTTCTATGGTATTATAATGCGTAAGTAAAGGCAAAAGAGTTGATAATTATTGTTTGATGAAGTTCGTTATCATGTATGAGACTAAAACTGTGACGTCGGCGACCTTGTTATTAAGTATTATCTATATGTAAGGATCTAAAAAGTAAAGAAGAAAGCAAAAAGTAAAGTAGGGTGGATGCCCCTAATACCAGCCATGCCCCTAATTCCAGCTTTTTCGCTTTTTTATTTCTTAAATAAAGTTTCTATTAGTCTTAACTACAAATATTGTCACCTAAAAAATTCTTCGTAACTAGAGGAAAGTTTTCAAATATTAACTTACAGTTTTAAACCTAACATTGTTAAATTAAAAATCAAAACACGTACGCGACGAAAAACGCTCATTTTCCTAATTTCTTGACAAGTAATGATCCCGGTAAAATTATGCTTACATTACATTATTTCTTAAATAGGCTTTTTGATTTGTATGAATATGACTATATACTAGTAATGCAGTTATTTTTGTTAAAATTTACAAGTAATTTATTTTCTTTTAGTGGAAATTAATGGGGCTGTAATTAGATATACGAAATGTATGGAGTGCATAATGTCAGCCGCCTGGCTGTTATTTGGTTTGACGTACGTTACTTACTACATAATAAGAAGTTAAGAAGTACCTGATATCAGCCACGTAATATAAATCAGGGCTGTCATAAACTGGAATAAATACCATTAATTAGATCATAACTTATAGTTAAAGGGAGTTATGATCCTCTGTTTTAAAATTGGTTTTAGATTTTAAAGTTTAGCAAAAGATGTACTAGCTTTTCTATCTGACATTTGGTGTATATTAAGGACAGCTTATGTATTCAATTATTATTTGAGAAAGAAGAAACAACAAGCAATAAATATAGTATATACTAGCTGTTTCCGGCGACTTCACCCGCGTGTAATTTAGGGTTTTAATTGTGTTGCGCGGAACCCTAATTCTTTTTCTAAATTATAATTAGTTATAATTATAATTAGCTATCGTTCAGTGAAAGTCCCGTCGAAATCGGTCCAGCCGTTTCGGAGATTAGCCGGAACAAACAGACAGACAGACAAAAATTTTAAAAATTGTGTTTTTGTTATAGGTACCGTATATACTTTCATATGCATTTAGTAAAAAGCTGTTATTTTGACATTACAAACAGACACTTCAATTTTATTTATTTGTATAGATAAGCAAAAACTATAACTTAGTAATACTAATAAAATAAAAGAACATAAGTGAAAAACTCATAACAAGTAAAGTGGCTTAAGACCAGGCTTTGCGGCAGTCTATGGAGGAGGATGTTCCGTAGTGGACTTGTGTAAGGTTATAATGATGATGATGATGATTTCAGAACTTGGATGATTAAATTATTAGAAATCCATATGCTACATAATATTTTATCATAATTTGCTTTAATTTATTGAACTGTTTTAAACTAAAACACAAGTTAAGAAAAGTTAAGTTAACACAAAAGTTAAGAAGTAAAACATTAAAATAAAATAATGTTGTCGTCTGCCTTAATAATATCCCATGCTTGTCACATGTAGATTCAAAATTAAAAGTTACCTACAATAGGTACTTACCAAAAACTCAAAAGGCACAACCCTATGCTATGCTGGCATTAAGTACACAAAAGGACGACATTCGGTACAGGATGGCTGGCATTTGAGCCATAACGCCTTTTTTTGCTTATCGTCGTTTTTAGAATTGTTCTTGAAATAATATGATTGTAAATAAATGTTCATTATATTTTTAGATAAATAACCTATCGATTAAAACAAATGTTTAAAAATATTGTGCCCTAATTAAAATAGCAGAAATTTTTAAAGTTGAAATTGGCACTAAAAGGCTGGTAATAGGGGCATCCACCCTACTATATACGTTTCGCTGCAGGGCACAGACCTCTTCCCTTTTTGTGAGGGTTTTGGAGCAAAGAGTAATTAGTCCACCGCGCGTCTCCAGTGAGCAGTCCGGTAGTAGTGGACTTCACATCATCATCATTACTGCTCTTCACAAGTCCTCTGCTGAACATAGGACTTCACATATCCTTGAAATATTTATATTCATCAGAACCTCAACAATTTCATTGGTGGCGACAGGAATCGAACCCGGGTTACTCGGGTACTGTGAAATTTACGGCGCTTAGCAGTAGAGTTTCCACGGCTCTATGCTTTTACGTACCGACAACGTTATGACAAATTATTGTTATTACTTAAATGTGAAATATTATGGTTCTGTGATATGTTATTTCATATTTTAAAACTCGGAACAAACGCTAAAACTAAATATTTTTATGCTAACTGATACCTACTAGCGACTTCCGCGTTGCTTACACACTCACATCACTGAACGAAAAATCGTTGTTTCTTAAAACTTTAATAAGTTTTTATTAAAACTTTAATAATTTTATACGTGGTAGAGCCATGCTGCAGCTATATTAGTAGTATAGTTGTAGCACGAATGGGTCGGCTCGACCGGGGAAGGACCACGCTCTCACAGAATACCAGCGTCAAATAGCAGCTTAATGCTGCTGTGTTTCGTATGGTGAGTGTAGAGAACCGGAGACCCTTTTTACTGGAAACGATGCATTCAATCTTAGTCCTCACGGGTGACGACGCATCTGCATTTTGATTCTTTATTGAGGATAAATGTAGATGTCTATGGGTCACAGCAACCACTTACCATCAGGTGGACTGTGTGCTCGTTTGTCACTCTTATCCTATAAAAAAAAACATTTTAATAACTTTGTATTAAATGAAGATATCGCATTTTTTTAGATTAGGGGTAAGTGTCTAAAAATAAAACTTAGACCATTTTATTTAATATAGATGAAACGTACAGGCGTTTAGTAAAATTATGTTTTCACTTTATTATAGTTTTGTTATTACCGATTTCTTCGGTGCACATGATACATATTGGTTACATGTTTAATCTGCCGACTTCCAAAAAGGAGCCGGTACTCAATTCGATTGTATGTTTTTTTTTATGTCATAACTTTTGACTGGGCGAACCGATTTCGATGATTCTTTTTTTATATGAAAGCTGATAGTTCTCGTGTGGTCCCATATGAATTTGTTCAAGGTCAGACCAATTGTTATTGAGTTTTTCTTAAATAACCTATATTGAAGTCTCTTATATTGAAGTCGGCTGTACAAAATTTTTAATTTTAAATTATTTGTATTACCATATACCAATTTTATGGGTAATGGTTTGAATCCTGCACGAAAAAAGTGTTTGTGTGGCCTACAAATAATTACTATACTTATCTTCACGCACAATCCCTGACGGGGTAGCCAGAGAGAACAGATCGCCAAGTGTCACGATCCTTACAAACCTCTTTCGCTTCTTTCAGATTCATTATCTTCTTCATGCATGCACGTCTAGGTATCCGAGTACTACAAATAATTGTTCCGAGATTACGGCAATTTATGTACTAGGTACACTAACTTGTCATAAAACGACCCCCCGAAGCAAAAATTATTTGGGGTAACGCTATTTGTTTAACATTTTTCTATGCGAATATAAGAATTTTTGAAATGTTGATTGCGACTTTAAGCACTGATTGATTTGAAATGCGAGGAAACCAGCATTCCAGGAAAATATACATTTCGCTACTTAGAATTTAGATAGAGTGACGACCCAGTATAGATGCAGGATATCAATGGATGTAGGTGGCTCAGAACCGTGCTTTGTGGCTTGGGGAGGCCTATGTCAGCAGTGGACTTGTAAAGGGCTGTAAAAATGAATGATGGTTATAATATATTTCTCGGATTCGGCTTTATTTAGGTTATTAGGGCGGAAAGATTGGTCGCTTCTCTGTCTCATTATTTTTTTTTCGAATCCATTAAATTTATAACAAAAATTGATACTTGTTAACTGTTGATCATCTATTAATAAGTAAAAACGTAATTTTTACGCTATGCGTGTCATAACACCGTAAAGATAGTTAATGTATAATATGTAGTTCGTTTCGTTCGTGCGATCGTTTACCGCTATCCACGCAATGCATCTTAGCTTCTCATAAGAAGGGAAGATTTGATAATGACTTGTTTGTTTGTCCTAGTGCTTAATTTGTAAATAATTTTAATAACAAAATTAATGATTTCTTACATTTACGCCAACACTACACATTGAATAAAACTACTTTTGGGAGTTTCCCCCGTGATCATGAGTTGCTGTAAAACACCCGAAACTTCGGGAATTAAAATAAGTAAATTAAACGCGATAAAATCAGCAAAAATAGTTTTATTCAACAAAATTAAGTTGTCTTATCTTAAGTAAGTAATAGTATGTAATAATGATTTCTAATAACTTACATAATTTATGTGTATGCTAAAAAAAACGGGTTTTTGAGTAAGCTTAAAAAAATAAAAATAAAACTTTATTATATAAAAATTATTGTTGTTAGCTTCCGAGACTGAGGGTTGAGGGCCTTCAAAACTCATTGGGTACTTACATCGCTCTCACTTGCCAGTATTTTTTACTCACAATCGCATCGTACGTTACAGAATTAATTGGCAATCAACGGATGAAAGTGAGATGTCATCATGCTCTTGTTGCGTTTACAGATTGTCCATGCATCATTTGATTCTTACGAGTAGTAAGCAGATTTTAATCGTGAAATTCATCGATTAGTAAGGTCTTATTACATTGTCTTCAATATTCATATTCGTTAAGCTGCGTCTCCACCAAAGAAAAGTTACCAACTTTTGTGTGGTGACAAATGTTTCTGTAATTACCTAGTGTTGGCAACAAAACTTAT